CAGATAGCACGTTTCCCAGTGATTTCGGCTAGATGTACCCGAGCGTCGACCCTTTACCTTGGTGGGGTTTCAGAGAGGTCTTCTCCTGGCGTCCAACAAGGCTGAGTCTTTTTACCTCCAGGGATTTATCCGCGTCTCATCAACTTGGGATGACGTATCTGACTGGCCCAGCTTCCAAAATAAACTTCCCCGAAAGATAGGATTAAGTTAAGTGGAATTTCAGCAAACATGCTGAACTCCTCCTCAGCAGAACTCTCTGTTCTCCATGGAACTTCTAGAACTTTGGTTCAAGTGTAGAACTCCGAACTCTTCTGTTCGGTTCTGCTCTCAGAACTCCGGTTCATGTCTCAGAACTGACTGGAACTAGGAAGTGTCGACATTTAAAGAGTTCTGTTTCCGGTCCCATTTGAGAAGTCCTGATTGGTTGAAAGAACCAACAGGGGTGTGGTTTTAGTGACGTAAGAGGGTTACTACAAGTCAGAAAAACAGCGGAGATGTTTTAGGAACAGACAGAGAAATGTTTAGGCGAAATGACAGACCACAGGTGCCAGCTTCTCTGTTTCTGTCTGAGCAGTTTAAAAACATGACAGTTCGTTCCAATAAACTTGTTTGCGACTGTCTCTGACTTTTGACCGACATCACTCCTTCTCATTTCAGAGAGAAGATCAAAAAATGCATAATTACTTTGTAACAGACATCTAACTGGATTTCTACTTTGAATGAGGACTAAAAATCATTAATACTGTTTCACAGTTGATTTAAAATGAGTAGTTCACTTCAACATTTAAAATGGTTTGAACTAAACACCTTTTGATTATCAAGACATTTGTAAAAATAGTAATGACAATATAAAAGAGAGTGTTCTTTCAATTGATTAGTGCAGGATACAATTAGAAAGTCTCTGGATGAGCTTAATTTGTATTTCTGGATTCAAATCAATGAAATAACAGTTCCTGTCCCATGAAGGTCTTCAGGGTCAGGTTTTGACCTGAGGCTTAGTTCACTACACCTGAACCAATGACTTGGTGGTGTCCCTGAAAAGGACGTCAAGGCTCTCTTTTCTACCTCCTCCATGTACAGGTTGGCAACAATAGGAGAAACTGGAGACCCCATAGCACACCCATGTTTCTGCCTATAATATTGCTCCCCATATGTGAAGTAGGTTGACTGCAGGCACAGTTTCAAGAGTTGACACAGTTGTTCTGTGGAAAGCGTGGTCCTGCTGCTCAGAGTGGTGTCTGATTTTAATTTTAAACTGACCACCTCTTCTGCATCATCAACAGGAATGCACGTAAAGAGTGATGTGACATCAAAAGAGACCATTGTTTCATCAGTCTCCATGATGACATCCCTGTTTACTATTCACAGCCCTACTATTACTCAGCCCTTTGTGAATAGTAAACAGCCATCAGGGTGCTAATGATACATTGTTAGGCTGATGGCCCTTCTTGAGCATGTGATCAGCTGGTTTTGGTTGTCAGCAGCAAAACTGGTTGATCCACTCTGAGAAGGTGCTATTTAAGAGACTGAGCTGTACACAGCACCTCAGACTGAGGAAGTCTCTCGGATGAGAGACGAAACGTTTCTATATTTTTTTGCTTTGTTTTTTTTTTTTTTTTTTTGAATGTCCAGAGGACCAGATTGAACTTTTGTGGATTTTTCGAGTTAAATTTCTGTTATGTGACCAAGAATACTTGTGAGTGTAGTGTTTAATCAGTGACATGAGATGCCATTTTATCTTTGACCCATCAGAATAATTGCGGTCATTTATTTAACAGAATCAGAATTTAACATCAAAACATGTACACATTGATTTGCTGATCTGTTTCTGATTAATAAACTTGGCACGCTTTACTAACAAGACAACAGAACATTACTGATTGAGACATATTCATCTCTGAAGGCATCTAGCTTGATTTACTGGTGAATAGAGAAGTTTAAGAGAGGAGGAATAGATTTAAGGAGGAAGTTTAGATGTGGAGTTATGTGTTGAACCAGAACATGGCACCCTTCCTCCGACATCCAGCTCAGCCCTCCGGTACACTTCAGGCCGTGCAGCGACTTTATTACCTTAGCAGAGGATGTATCCACTCCGGAACAGAAGTCCATTGGTACACTCCCTTTTCAGCGTCTCCGGTTAGAGTAGCTGGGGGTCATCAGAAATTGTGACTAAGTACTCGGTTCAACCGAATAAGCTTCCGTAGGAGTTGAGCTTTTAATGCTCAGGTTGAGTCACAGCCGAGGCAGGCTGTGACTACGCTGGACTAGAGAGACCCTGGGCACATGGTCAAATCCATCCGCTACTTATTCCCCTTTTCCATTAGTACCTGTAGTACCGGTACAGCACGGCTCTACTCTACTCGGTACGGTTCAGGTTGTGTTTCCATTATGCTTTCAGTACCGGTTCCAGTGGGCGGGGTTCAAATTGACGTCACCACCTCTCACCAGCTGGTGGCGCTGAGATGCAGAAATTGTTTTCAGTACAGGTTGAGAATTTATGTAATTTTGAAGTTGTGTGTATGTATGTATGCATGTATGTACATGTGTATAAATATGTATATATACATATATATATATATATATATACACAAATATATATGTACACACATATGTGTATATATATATATGTGTGTATATATATATCATATATATATCATATGTGATATATATATATATATATATATATATCACATATATGTATATTCACACAATTATGTATATATATATATATATATAT